ATTCTCATTCTCTATGTGAAATACCGTACCCGACACTCCAGCGTACGGTAGATAAACAGGCAAAACATCGCCTGGCGCGCTCACTGCAAAAGGATTGATTGGCGAAACGCCAGCAAAGACTACTGTAGCCAAAAAACAACAACATTTCCCCAGGGGACCAAAAAAAACTCTCAAAAACTCGAGGGCAAGTTCAAAATCTTGGGAACACTCGTGTCCATGGCTCGGTGCAGTGGTGCCGGCGGGGGAAAAGTGCGTTTGGAATATCGAGGGTGGGTGGGCCAACTCTCTAGAAGCCCCGAAAAACAAGGAGAGAGAGAGAGAGAGAGAGAGAGGGAGAGAGAGAGAGAGAGAAAGAAAAGGACACTCTCGACCAGCGGGTTCGTTCTCCGGCGCGAGTATATGGCAAGCCCCACCCCTTTTTTACTGGTTGGCTCTGTGTAGATGCTCTTTCTCGTTCTCTCTCTCGTTCTCTCTCTCTTTCTCTCTCTCTCTCTTTCTCTCTCTTCAGAGGGTCCAGTCGGGCCGCTAGGGCCCCCAGCCATGGCGTAAACAAACTAAGGGCACATTCGGGAATAGACTCGATGGGGAAATGCCTGAATATTTCGGCCACCCTCCCCCTGCCCCAACAAAGGGCAACCCGTAAACAGTCTCTACTCGCCGCTAAAATGCACTAAAATGACGGAAAGGGGGGTGTTTACTGTATACAAACGTACCCCGATTGCTATGCAGGCGTATCGAAAGCGTTGACCTACCAAAAAACCACTCCAAAATTGTTGTCAAGCGGCTGGTGTCTCTGAAAGTTTTTGGTAAATTGGAAAATGCTTAGGAAATCCAGATGGAAAATCCTATCCTATAAGCGAGAAAAGTATGTTTGTTTTCTGTACAGCCGATTTCTCGGCCGTCTGGCCGAATTTCCGGCTGATTTTTGGCATGTAGGTGGAGAAACACATTTGTCAGTGAAGCAATTTTTTGTTTCTCGAAATTCCTTCATATAACGATTTTACAAGGAAAATAGTGAAAAATCCTTAACATTTTGGCCGAAAAAAGGTTTGTTCAGAAGATATCTCGATTACCAGACCGAATCGGGCTCTAATTTTTGGAGGGTAGATTGAAAATCGAATTCTCCCGATATATAATTTTGCGTTTTGTCTGTTTTTGTAAAATAAAGTTTTTATGAGCATTTTTCTAAAAAATCCTTAACAAAATCGGCCAAGAGCCGTGGTGTTCGGGTCATAACTCGAAGCCCAGATGGAATTTCGGTCTGTAATTTGGACCACTTATGTATTCGTTAGTGGGGATTACGCGCATCTTATTATCTTTACAAATTTTCGGCGGATTGAGACTCAAAAATGGAATTTTGTAAAGTGACCAGAAGGCCTCCCGCCCGGGGCATTGGCTCGGCCCTTTCATTGCCTCCCCGCGCCTCCCCAGAACGTAAGAGGCCTTTCCCGCCCCCTCTCGCCATATGCCTCTTCGTGTATGGGGTTAGCTCCCGGGCTACCACGCGGGAGGACATAGGTTCGGATCCTGGGCGAATTTCGCTTTTTGCTTTTTGGTAGTTTAGCAGCAAAACATCTTTTTATGCTCTCGCTATGCCAGGTTTAGGCCTGACCCTCGATCTAGCGCCGCAGGCGGAAGAAAAGGGACTTGACCCAGGGTCTCGCGCCGCAGGCCTAGGATGGGTCCTTGATCTAGGCTTTTGCGCTGCAGGCCAGATCCTGGAGAAAAACCAGTAACTAGCGCCGCAGGCTAAAAAAAAGGAAGGTGTTCAGATTCATGGTTCCTGGACGGGGTCCAGTGGAAAAGGGCCGCGAAGCGGTCTTTTGCCACTGGTCTTAGGATCATATGAAAAAGTTAATGTAAAAATATATACGCCCAGACAAAGCCTAAGCCTAAGCCTAAGCCTACGCCTAAGCCTAAGCCTAAGCCTAAGCCTAAGCCTAAGCCTAAGCCTAAGCCTAAGCCTAAGCCTAAGCCTAAGCCTAAGCCTAAGCCCAAGCCTAAGCCTGCCTAGCCTAAGCCTAAGTCTAAGCCTGCCCAAGCCTAAGCCTAAGCCTAAGCCTAAGCCTAAGCCTAAGCCTAAGTCTAAGTCTAAGCCTAAGCCTAAGCCTAAGCCTAAGCCTAAGCCTAAGCCTAAGCCTAAGCCTAAGCCTAAGCCTAAGCCTAAGTCTAAGCCTAAGCCTAAGCCTAAGCCTAAGCCTAAGCCTAAGCCTAAGCCTGCACAAGACGACGACTTCGTAATTGCAAACGAGAAATTATAAAAATTTCAGATGAAATTCTGCGTATTTCTGGGAATTCAGTCTATTCAGAATTGTTCTTCTGTTGTTCCATCGTCGTTTCTGTGAACAGACAAAACAAAAAAGGAGCCAACTGATTATTTATCCGTTCTGAATTTTTTATTTTTGCGTGGCAGCGGCTGGAGAGAGAGAGAGAGAGAGAGAGAGAGAGAGATGGCCACACACTGCGCGGGTTATTTTGCCGCTGGCCAGAAAACGAGGGAGAAGAAGACGTAAACAAGTCAGCAGGGGGGTTTGGGTGGAAAGCAAGTGGCAGAAAAGGAAGTCGAAGAAGGCGAAGAAGAAGAAGCTGTGGGATGCGGGGACCCGTGGGAAGGGGGAAATCGGGTGGAATAAGGGGGGCAAGTGGATAAAATATTCTTTTAGGGGGAACTATAGGCAAGAGAGAGAGAGAGAGAGAGAGAGAGAGCGAGAGTGAGAAGGAGAGATAGCAGAGACAAGTGGGAATGCCAAAGATACAGGCAAACTAGCAGGGGCTCGTGAGGATTCAACCATCTTGCTGCAACGTTCCCTTTAAAACACCCCAAACCCTTTTCTTTTTGTTCCGTAGAGTCGCGTGGGTCTCCACGCGCCCTCCAGGCGATAAACACGCTGCAAAAAGAACTACGGTAGCCGTGAAAAATTATTGCGGATTACCGTAATCCCGCCGTTAAAATGTGACCTAGTAGGAGATAATCCCGACTGGTGAATCAGATGCGCGGCATTAGGAGGCTTCAGCGCCTCGCATCGGTCTTTATCCTCTGTTTGGAGGGTCACAGGTGTTTCATCCAAGAATCACTACAATTCCTTCCTATTTACGCGGTTGTGTGGGGTGTAAACAAGAAGCCATACGGAATCGAGTGCGCATCTACTACGCTGCAGAGGGGGCCCCTGGATTAATTCCGTTGGAGAGGGGTCAGGGATCGGGGGGTTTAAAGGGACTGGGAAGGCATGGAGACATGGCTTGAGATAGAGACAGAGAGAGAGAAAGAGAGAGAGAGAGAGAGAGAGAGAGAGAGAGAGAGAGAGAAAGAAAGAGGGTGAGCGAGAGAACTAGAGAGAGCGAGTGAGAGAGTGAGAGAGATCGAGCGAGGCTGAAAGAGCGTGAGAGAGAGGGGTGAGGGATACGAGGGTGACGCGGAAGGTCAAGACAATTCCTGATTCTGTCACGCTCCCTTTAAAAGCCCGTGCTAAGCTAAAGAAAAACTCACTGGTTCGATGAGCAATCTTGACCTGCCTGAACTTTTGTTTTTCCCTGTTTACCAGCTGCAAAATCCCCTCTTTTCCACTTTTTAATCCAACCAGCCACAGCTTCTCTGATCGTCGACCCCTCGGAATGACGGAATTCAAAGAGGATCAGGGCTTCCCGGAATCTGAATCACGAGGTGTGAATCGGAGGGAGCGGATGGCAAACATGCCCGCCTCGGGCTACGCGACACTCCTTTGTCCGGGGTAAAAGTACGCAATCATACTAATCCCCCTCCCACCTGAAAAATTGGGATAAACAACCGTTCGGTGGGATGAGGTGGAACTTTGCGAGCATGGAAAAGCCGCTTGAAGGGGTCGAGAAGCCAGGAGTGGGCGAATTCGGGATTCAAGCTCAAGCATAGGCCTAAGACAAGCCAAGTCTAAGCCTAAGTTTAAGGCTAAGCCTAAGTTTAAGGCTAAGCCTAGGCCTAAGCCTATGCCCATGCCTAAGCCTAATCCTAAGCCTACGCCCACGCAGAAACGCAAGCCTAAGCCTGAGTCTAAGCGCAAACCAAAAGACTAATCCTAAGCCTAGGCCTAAGCCAAGCCAAGCCAAGCCAAGCCAAAAGCCTAGGTCCAGGCCTAACTGCAACACTAATTTTATCACCCGCACCGTATTCCCTAGCTGCAAAATCCGTGATACCCAAGTGGGCCCTCCTGGTCGCTGATCCAAATCGTGTGATAGTGCTGAGAGATTCCCATGCCTCCCTCTTCAGCACATACCCTCGGGGTATACGAGTATGCTTGCGTACACCCCCCGGACCCATTTGATGTGTACAGGATGAGAGAGAGACAGAGACAGGGAGTGAGAGAGAGAACGGGGCTTAAGGCACCGCTGGGCCCCTAGATAGGGGGCCCATAGATGGAATGGATGTGAGAAGGGGAAGAGGGTGAGAAGACGGTCAGAAGAAGCCCCCCTCAACAAGTGACCCACTACCCCCCATATAACAGTCCCCCCAATGCCCCTTTCACCCACTACCATTCCACCCCTCCCATCGAACCCCCTGGAGGGCTCCGACGATTTCTTGAGTGTCGGGGTGCGCTGCGAGGTGTTCACACTCCTTTTTTGAAGCTTACGAACATCTGGGCTATCTCGATTTTTGTTTTAAAGGGATGGCGACAGCTACGAACCGTATCTTTTTCTCTTTCTCTCTCTATCTCTCCCTTTCTCTCTCTCTCTCTCTTTCGCTCTCTCTCTCTCTCTCGTTTCTTTTGTTTTGCGTAATCGGCTGGATCCTTTAAATATTAATCGGTTAACTTTAAAGATCCTAGGTATCGTTCCTCGTCTTCTTATTCCCTTGCTGGCCCCTTTAAAGGCACTGGGAAGTGAACGATAGAGCATATTCTCGCGGCGGAAGCCTTTTGATACATACCGTGATCGCTCTCTCTCGCTCTCTCTCCCCCTCTCTATCTCTCGCTCTCGGTCTCGCAATCTCTTCGGCTGTCCTCCCGCCCTCTCAATCTCCTTTCCAGCCAATGGAGCATTTACTGCTCGTCCTCCTCGGCCTCGTCGGCCCCGCCCTAGCTGCAGCCTCCTATATTGTCCCACACAGCTACGACCTAACCCTGCAGCTTCCGATGAATGAGAGCTATGTCGCAGGATCCGCAATGATACATGTAACACATTGTTGTACTTTTAAAGGGGCTCGGACACCAGATTATACCGAATTTAGAACTCGAATTATGGGGTTTTCGCGTTTTAAGGGGTAGGGATCAAAATAGTCTTTCTGACCATTTTCCACCTCTTTTTTCAGTTTTCACTGCTGCAAAATTCGCAAAACATTACTCTACACGCCCGCGGACTTCACAATTTTCGAAACATTTCGTTGTTGAGGTAAGCATATTTATTTTACAGAGAGTAGATACCAGTAAGATTTTGGAATTTTGGCAACGCGCTAATGTTTTTCGCATTTGTTAAAAACGCAAATCGTTAAAAAGGTTTGATATTTTTCATAGCTTCAAACCGCCCTAAAACAGCTTTTTTCGCTTCAAGGGCCCGTTAAAACTGCTGACGCCCTTTCCAGCTCGAACGACACGGTAGAGCCCCGCCTGAAATCCCTGCGAATTCTCGCCGACACCGTCGAGTTCAACTTTGCCACCGTGCTCCCGCGCGGCAAATACTTGCTGACGATCGGGGCGTACGGTGCCAAGATACGGTAGGGGTCACGGAACAGCAGGGAGAAACTTGGTTCAGAAACGATTCGCTGGGCGTTTTTTGGCGGAATTCCGGGGAGCTGCTTGCCACGCATTTTCAGCCAGATTTTGCGCGGACGCTGATGCCATGTATTGATTTGCCGTAAGTATTTGGAGAGAGGCTTGTGTTTTAAAGGGATATGGCACTCGTAAAAACGAAAAAGAACCCGAGAGACAGAGAGAGCGAGGGAGAGAGAGTGAGAGAACCATAAAGAAAGGTTTTCCACCGCCGAAGTGGGTGGATTCGACACGCTTCCGGACCCCCTTCAAGCCCCAATTTCAGACATTCCAAGGCTCCCCTCCGCCTCCAAATCATCCACCCGGCCCACACCATCGCCCAGTCGAACACCATTGCCAATGATGTCCAAGTGGTGGATGTTGAGTAAGTTTTTAGCATCACCTTCGACTTATCAATATCTAGCTGGCAAAAGACCATCTTTGCCCCGACGCCTCCCCTTCCCGCCTATCTCTACACCTTCTCCGTGATGCCCGACAGTTTCAAGCAGGTACGGTGATCTCTCTCCCGCTCTCTCGCTCTATCTCTCTCTCTCTCTCTCTCTCTCTCTCTCTTTCTCTCTCCTTCTTCTCCTTCTCTGGTTCTCTCGCTTGAGCACGAGTTTGAGAATGGAGCCTAGGATTGACCGTTAATGCTAAAAAACCAGAGTTTTGCAACTTTCGACGCGCACGTCTCGACACTGATCGGCGAGCAAAAAACGAATCTGCCCCATTCATCGCGTGGGGCCCTGAATCGGGTGTATGGGGGATTGTAGGGCTAGTGAAGACGATTCGCCTCGGGGGTCACATACACTCTCTTTATCTCTTTCTCTCGCTCTGTCTCTCTCTCTCGCCGGGTTGAGTACAGCAAACAATCTCACCCCTAGCAAGCACATCGTGTCAACTACTCCAATACCTATCTCGCATCCAACGGGACATAGGGCCCGAGGGGGAATTTAAGGCGAGAAATACGGGATTTAAAATGAGATCAGCGAGAGCGGGAGAGACAGAAAGAGAGAGAGAATTCAAGCTCTACCGTGCCACTTCCTTTGGCGTCACCCTCCGCGTCTTCCATGACCCCGACGTCAACGGTGCCCGTATCCTCGACGCAGCCGTGGCAGCATTCGAGCTGTTGGCCAGCCTCTTCGAAGTGCCGCTCCCCCTCAACAAGGTCGACTTCCTGCTCGTCCCCCGCTACGTGGGCGGCATCGAGAATTGGGGGCACATTGTCGTGTCAGGTTCGTCGCACAGAGTTTTCCTTACCAGGTCCTTTAAAAATGACGTGTTGCGTGGAATTACGCCTGTAATTTTTTCCGGATTTCAGAAGAATTAGCCGCCCCCTCGACAAATGACGCCCACGTGGCCTACGTGGTGGCCCACGAGTTGGCCCACCACTGGATCGGCAATAAGGCCACCGTATCCTCGTGGAAATGGGCCTGTCTACAGGTGTAGTTTGTAGCCCAGTGCCAAAAATTGTCGTTTTTAGGAAGATTTGACCGATTACATCAGCTACAAGGTTGTACGCTCGCTGTTTGGTGGGGATGAGAGGTGGGTGTTCTCTCTCTTTCTCGCTCTCTCTCTCTCCATCTCTCCCTCTCTCTCTTCAATTTTAATTCCCTTTCAGATATGAGCGCTTCCGGCTCTCGAAATACGTCGAGGTGCAACTCGCCGAAGATTTTGTTTCGCCAAACCACTCCCTGGAGCTCCCGGAAAAGATTGACAACGAAATGGTACACTTTACAAGTTGGGATTGAGGCAAGGGACTTTTTTAGATGACCAACCATTGCTATCTGAAGGGGGTGGCCTATTTGGAGTCCATTGAGGGTCTCGTCGGGGAGGGGACCGTATTAGCATCTATTCGACATCTTGTCTCAACCAGGTCAGGCTTCTTTTTTTTCTCACTCTTTCTCTCTCGCTCTCTCGCTCTCTCGCTCTCTCTCTCTCTTCCTCTCTCTCTCTTTCTTTCTCTCTCTCTTCCACCTATTCCAAATTCTGAATTCCAGATCAACATTTGACCTCGATCTATTCGCCGACTACTTCAGCAAGTTCACAACACCAGACGGCATTCCGCTCTCACAGGTTGAAAAATAGTTTCCTTCACTAGCTTTTAAGGTGTCTAATTTTTAATAATTTAAAATTTTTAACTTGTTTAATGGAATTCTACAGATCTACCAATTCTGGTACCGTATGGGCGGATTCCCGGAAGTGCTCGTCGTCAACGGCAACAAATCGACCACAGTAGCCCAGCGAGGCCAAAAGCTGTGGCCCCTCCTCCTCCCCAATCAACTCAATCTCCCCCAATTCATGTTGACGCAAGCAGGTACGGTTCAGTACACCATACACTCCTGAATGGCTACGTAAATTCCGTAATGGCGCTCGTGCTTTTAGCTGAATACGAGAATGTGTCCTCTCCGGTCATTGTCAACCTGAATTTCACCTCGTTCGTCCGAGTTAATTATGATACGAACACGTGGACGACAATTTTCAGGTAAGTATCGACACAAACGCCCTGAAGGAACGGACGTGGCATGGGTCTAACCAAAATGCCGACAGTCAAAGTGTCGACAGACCGAAATGTCGACATGTCAAAATCGCGAGGTTCTTGACGCTAGGTTGAATGCCCCCTCCTTTTAAAAAGCGATTTTGCACTATCGGTATTTTTGCTGCCGGGATTATGGTTGTCGGGATTTCGGTATTTTCCCTGTCGAGACCTAGTCGAAAACTGGGTCGATCTTCTCGCTCCCTGCACCCTTTCAAATTCCCCAAGAACCGCTGTCATCTACCCCTCATTTTTAGCCAAATGAAGCGCGGCCCGGGCGCGTTCTCGGCGGTAGGGCGCGCACAGCTCGTCTCCGATTTCTGCCACTTCCACAAAGAAGGCCTCGTGCCCGGCGGCACCAAAATCAAGGATCAAGTGCTCGAAATGGTAGGACTGGAAAAAGTACCCAAATCCCGTTCCAGGTCTACGCACTGCCCGAGTACTTTGAGCTGTGCGACTGGAATCTGTATTGGTGCACGGTGGCCCCGTCGGAATCGCTCGCCGCCACCCTCGTCAAGGTATTTTTCCGGGCTTTAAAGGACTTTAACAAGCCGATTACTTAGCTTCTTAGTTCCTTTACACCACCCAAAATCCCAAAATTTCAGAGCGTTCTTGTCAACTTCTCGGCTCTCTTCCAAAATGATGGCCACTACGGCTGCAAGCGGGGCGGCGCCGCGAAAACGATCAACTCCTTTTGCCAGTCGTTTTTCGGGCGCAATTGCGTATAATTTAACCCTTCTTTCTTTGGTTTCTTAACGCTTTTAATTTATTTATTATATCCGAAAAATCCCGATGTTCCGCTTCGTATTAACACCCCCAGCCCATGAACTCCGTTGAAAAGGACCAACCCCTTCATTATTCCGCAGATCTCAACAACCGGTAGTCGATAGTCATTCTTACGCTTATTAATGCTACACGCCCCCATTGTTATATTACGGTTTATCCAGTTGACAGCTCAATAATAAATCATAAATTCAATTTTTTTTACAAAGACAATGAGATCGTACGTTTTTCATACACAAAGTCTAAATTTCAAATACTTAAAACAGTTTCTTTGAGCTATAAAGTGTATTTAAATTGCTACAGCTGAATTGCACAGTTTCGTTTAGACTGTAAAAATTTTATCTTAAGCACATGTATCGTGTGCCATTTGCTAATTTCCGAACTTGTAGCCTCAATTGACGGATGAAGCCTCATTTCCGGGTTACCTGGGGGTTACCACTACGCGCCAATCCGCACTAGGGACGCACCCTTTGTGCGCGAATTTGAGGGTCGTTTTGGTTGGATAAGTGGTTAGCGCCGTGTGGGGTCGTCGCCCTGCCATCTGCTACTCCACCAAGACGGGTCATTTTTGAAGTGCTTTGATAACCAAGTCAATCCACTGCCAGCTGGTAAGTCTCCGCGCCAATTTTATTAACCCCCGATACCGGTAGCCCTTGATATTTTAGAAATTACAGCCATTTTTGACAAGTAAATCAGATAATTTTTATCTGGCTGGATTTTGCTTAATTCCTACTAATTTTCGGCTTAGTATCTATCTCGAACCGAAGGTCCTACAATCATTCTATTATAGTTTAACTCTGAAAATTTAAATTTATACTTGCACACTTGGCTAATCTTGATACTTTAATACTCAAAATCTTTCAGCAGAATGGACGAAGATGAAGACGATATGAATCGACAAGGCTCTTCGTCCCCAGTTGTTGTCGACGAGGATGAAGAAACGCCCGAGAACATGGAAGCAGACGAGGTAAAACCCGATGCGCAGCAGGCAGAAGCTGCCGCCAAAGCCGAAGCTGACGCCGCAGCTAAAAAGAGACGTAAGAAGAAAAAGAAAAAGAAGAAGAAGAAAAAGAGGAAGGAAGAGGAAAGGAAAGCCCTCGAAAAGAAAAACGAATCCGGTGAGGCTAATGAAGCCGCTGAAGCCAATGCCACCAATGAGACCGGCGATGCTCAGGTAGTTCCGGGGAAGAAGGGGAAAAGGGTCAAGATTGTAATTAATGAGAACAAGGAGCCTAAGGCAAAGAAGCCAAAGGAAAAATAAGAAAGAAAAGAAGGCCAAGAAAGAGAAGAAGGAAAAGACGGACAAGCCAGAGAAAGAGAAGAAGGAGAGAAAGGATAAAAAGGAAAAGAAGGAGAAGAAAGAGAAGAAGAGTAAGAAAGCAACCGATGGTCAGAAGGAGGGTGATGCAGAAACCGAAGATGGTAAAGCACACCTTGAAGGGGAACAAAATAAAGAAACCGAAGAGGACAAAGAAAGGAAAGCGAAAAAGGAGAGGAAGAAAAAGAAAAAGAAGAAGAAGAAGAGAAAGGAAAAAAGAAGAGGAAGGAAGAGGAGGCGGCAGCAGAAGCTGCCGCGGCAGCGGAATCGGAAGCTAGAGCCAAAGAAGCCAGGGATAACGAGAATAAGGACCCAGATGAGGATGAACCGAAGGAAGGCGAGCCGAGGAGAGTCAAAAAGGTAAGCCTTAGTTTCACGTAGGTTTTCGGTAAACAACAGGGTAATCAGTAAATATTATTTTTAGTTACGCATCGTTATCACACCGGAGGACCGCCGGATTGCAGCTGCTTCAGAAGCTTCCGCTTCATTGGCCCCACCACCACCAGCAGCCGTAGAGCCAGTCCCTATACTCGACCCCGTCGCAGCCAAAGCGGAAAGGAAGCGGGTGAAATGGGAGAAGAAGAAATTGATGCGGAAACAACAGAAAATAAGAAGAAAGGAAAGAGCAAAACAGAGAAGACGTAAAGAACGGAACAAGTTCAAATGGCATGAACGGGTTTGGAGAAGAAGATATAGATGGATGGTTCGCGAGGAGCCGGACCCGGCCACGATCTCTGATCATGCGAAGAGACAGGCGGCAATCCGGGCCCTGTTTCGCAGCTGTGTGGAGGAGATTTTCTTACAAGAATGCTTTGATGTAAGTTGTTGATAGACTGGCAATCAAAGCAAACAATTTTGCAGATGATGCGGACTGTGAAGCTGAACCCGAAAGTGCCGTTGGACGGATATTTCATACCCATCAGGCCGCAAGGGGTGAGTTCCAGCGGTTTTGAAAGCTGAACAAAATGGCAATCATCTATGAAACCTCATCAAACGAAACGGTCAAAGGCAACTCATAATATTCAGATTACGCCCCAGACCGAACGAGCTCAAGTCGATAAGATGGAGGAAAAATGCGACGTGTGCGGGCGGACAATTGCGGTGACCCGATACGCACCCCATCTGGAGAAATGCGTAGGGATGGGCAGGCGGTAGGTGTCTAGAGACTCGTAATATCGATCATTTACATTTTGTAAAGCACCCAAAAAAATGAGGAATTTCAGGGCCGCTCGACCGCAACGTGGCAAATACACCGAACAACCCGAACCGTCGACCAGCGCAGCAGTTGAGGAGGGGATGGAGGACGAGGATGATGCATATGTGAGTTCGGAAACACTAACTGAGTCATCTCCTATCAATATATTCAAATCTAGACTACAACCCCAAATTTAGAATCCGATCAGCAGCGACGAAGAGGACTGGGCCCCCAAGAAGAAGAAAAAGAAGCCGCGGGGCAAGAAGAAATAATAGAGCTGTGTTGTGCGGGTCAACGGCTTCATATTTATCAAGGAAAAAAACGGTTCACAAATATACGACCTAAAACAAACGACGAACTCTATACTACAACAAGCAGAATGTGGGGCGCGGACGGGGTTATTTAGGCGGTTCGCTGGAAAGCCTTGCGGGAGAGGCTATATCGCCGATCCGGGTATCTAAAACAAAGATTTCGAAAAACGGCTTTCGATTACCTATCCATCTTCTCGGCCACCTCCTTGTCCCACGGCATATCCTTGTCGACGCGCGTATAATCGTAGTCCGTATCTTCATAATCGTACCACTCGGACTTGGGCTGGTATTGCCTAAAAGAATTGAGGCTTGGTAGTCTATAAACTGGCAATACCTTAGTATCCGCTGATTCCGCAGGCCGTAAACTTTCCCGCCGGCTCCCGGGTAGGCGGTTACACCTAGAAAAATGCAAAATGCTAAAATACCATCAGCAAACCTCCATGCCAAGCATCCTTGTCTTCAGGGTTGAAGCGCGCTGGCTGCTCGGCCATGCTAACATTCGGCGGGAGTTTTGTAGACCTGAAATAAATGTTAAAGTACCCAAAGCAACGATACCTAGCCATTTTCGTGTAATCATCAACATTCTTCACAGGCTCCTCGTAGAAAGCCGCCAAGTCTGCCACCTAAAGAAAAGCTCAGAAAATGGAACAGCGCTCACGGTTTTGATCTGATGCAGCCGGGAATTTGTGGGGAAATGGTTCAGCTCCGACCCGATGGCGCTGATTAGCTAAAATATCATTCGTATCATCTGCAAAACATTAAAATACCTTGAATTTTTCTTGACTATCTTCCAGCTTTCGATCCAACGTACGAGTGCCTAGAATCGATCCGGCAAACTTGAGCACCCGTTCCTCGATGTCGTGTGGAGGGGTGTAGTTGTAGCGGTACTTCATTACACTGAAAAGCACGTCCACATCAGGTTTATCAAAATTACCCGCGGGCCCGAATAGCATCGATGTCAATGCGCGAATCGATGAGATCATCGGAAAACGACGCAGTCTGTGCCGAATCGTCTCGCGGCCGCGCCACGTCGGTTCGCAGCTTGCCCAGCGTTTTTGCTAGGGCCTCCTGGATAAAGGATTGATATGGATCCACAAATCACACACCTTTTGTTGTTCAGACATAGTATGGTCGGCCGGTGGATCTGGCTTCTTCCCGAGGATTCGGCTCAAAAATCCGCCGCCTTGCCCGCCGCGGACGAGACAAACGGCCGTCCGTCGCATCTGGGCCTGAAAAACGGTGTTTATTCGGATTATCGATAAAATACAAAGATATAAACAAATATTTAGTTAGATTTTCTTTAGTTTAGTATTTTCCAGGGGCCCGGGTGCGTTACGCCACTCATTTCCAGGCGAGGGTTACGGTCGATTGGTAGCACTATAGACGACAAAAGCAAGACTGCTGCAAAAGTTTAAAATAAATTAATTTAATGTAATTCTTAGATAGCTAGGATTTTTATTAATGTTATTAGATGATGCGGAAGTATTAAATTTAATAGTTTAACATTTTCAGTCTCGGCGCTAATGTAGTTGAGTGAACCGGCAGCCTAAAGCTTTGCTACCACGTAATTGTGTGGTTCTTGTGTATTATCGGGAAGGGGGCGGGGTTCTGTATTATTTGATTTGTCTGATATAATAAATAGAAGAAGTGGCTTTTAATTGTTTTTTTTTTACTCTCCGGAAAGGCAAACATTTTTAAAATCATAAAACATACAAAAAAAATTTGATTTTACGGCCAAACTTTCGATTTTTTTAGAAGTTTGTTTAGCGTCTTTTTTCCAATAATACGATATGATTTTAATAATTTTGAACACATTATTTTACTGTGGTTTATGCGATCCCCAATTTTTTTCGTGACGTCCATTCCGCCCCCTTTCAAATACTAACCCCCGACCGTAGAGTGTACACCGGCGGAATGATATTCATGGACGCGTTCCCACATTTGATTGGGACGACAAGGCGCGGCGACGGGGCCCTCGTTTCCCATTTTAGGCTGTTTGAATACTACAAGCCCGAGCGGTAAGCCATTGATTCGGATGGGGGCGGTGGCGGATCGGCGGTTCGGTGCCATGATGCACCACCTACACCCCACAATACCCTCCCAAAGCCCCGCGTGGCGATCAGGCCTGCAGGCGCCGCGTCGATCATTATTATTTGGGGGCGCCTCGATACGGGGGTGCTAGGCCAAGCATTTTATTGCCGCGATGTGGCTATTGGCCGGCGCTGCTGGTGGGAACGAAATTTTTGGCATCGCGGGCCCCAGGGAGACCGGAAGCATTGTGGAAGCTTCGAAGGGAATCAGTAGCTTTTAGAGAGGAAAATGCAAAAATACCGAAAGCCAAAATCCCGACAGCCAAAATCCGAAAGCCAAAATCGCGACATGAAAACAGACGTTTAGAAGAAAGTGGCATTCAAATTACCGTCAAAAAATTTTCGGTATTTTGGCTGTCGGGGTTTTTTGCATACTTGCATTGATTTGGCTGCAATTCCACTTCAAGCAACGTGCAAGGATTTGCTGGAAGAATGTTAAAATTGCATAACATTGAAATGCAGACATTTCGCAAGCCGAAAATCCATAATGCCGAAATGTCCGAATGTAATTTCACAATGTTAAAATTTCGTAACGTCGAATTTTTCCATGAAGGGACCTTTCCGGAAAATCGATTCCTATGCCAAAAATTCCGAGGTTTCGAAATTCCGACATTAAGAAATTTGGATGTTATGAAGTTCGGCATTTTTAAAATACCTTAAAAAATGCCTTTGAACTCCGATACTCGAACTTAGACCACAAAACTATAGCTGATTTGTTTAAACCCAGCCACTCTACCGTAACCAATTCCCCGTCTGCTTTTGCATAAAATAGATGCCTTTGGGCCTGTATTCTCAACGGCAGGGTCCAAGGGCGGGCCCACCAAAGGACACATGCACATAATTCAGCCAGCGCCCTTTTGTACGCGTGGCACCTCTGAACGGCACGCCGGACCCTGGTGCGACATTGTCTCCCAAAAGCCTCATGGCTTCACGTATGCAAATTGTCAATTGTGGGGGGGGGGTTGACTATTAGTGCATTGTCGATGGACTTTTAGGGCTGAATTTTCGAGGGGTTCGTAGGGAGCAGCCGTATGTCCCCGCTCCTCACATTAGCCACGTACACCTGGCTACTCTGCGAAGAGGCTAAAATGGTGCTTCGCTGGCCGGTCGGCTGCCGCGGGTTGTCGGGCCCATTTGGGTGTCCATGGTATTTCCAGGGTAGCGATGGGACGAAGGATCTTGAGTGACGAACGGCCTGCCTCTACGGAAACTGGAAGAAGCCTTATAGGAAATTTGGAAGCTAGAAAAAGCAGAAAAATCGGTCCTTATAGGTTCAGGAAATTGATTTTTTGGCCTTAAATTAGCTGATTAATGAATATTTTCGAAGTTTTTAATTTTAATATTGTAATGTTGAATATTAGGAGGTCGCAAAGCATTTCACCGAAATTTTAATTAGTTGAAGCCGAATTTCCGGGCCATCCAAACGGCCCCCGAGGGTCAAGCTGTACCAACATTCCCCCCATCCGACCAGCTCCGGGCCATATTTGGAGAGGGACATCGATCCGATTGTCTGTCTGTCTGTCTTTTCCATCTGTCTATCTGTCTTTCCCTATCCGTCCGTCCGTTTGTGTATTCACAGGGCTTGAATCACCTGTGGTGCCACATCATCCCCCCTCACCCTTTCTCCCCCCACCCATCCCGCCATTCCCCTTTTAGCATCCACCCTGTACCGCGGTATCGATGTGTGCCCATGTTGGCCCAAACTGGACATGCTTTGATGGTAGCCGACTGTCGGGTTAAAGCTTAAGCCTACGCCTAAGTTGAAGCCTAAGCTCAAGCCTAAGCCTTATCCTAAGCCAAGCCTCAACCTAAGCCTAAACCTACTTGTAAGCCTAAGCCTAAGCCTAAGCCTAATCCTAAGCCTAAGCACAAGCCTAAGCCCAAGCCTAAGTCCAAGCCCAAGCCTAAGTCCAAGCATAAGCCCAACCCTAGGCCAAGTCCAAGCCGCTGTCGAAGCCTAGGCCTAAGCTAAGGATCATTTAAACCTTTACCTCTGTATCATTTCTCTTCCATTCTATATCAACCACCGTACCTCTACCCCCAAATGGAGCTGCACAGTGGCCAAAGCCCCGTTCTGCGCCCCAATTCCGCATCCCCCCAAATCCCGGCAATACCGGCAGGCTGAGCCAATAATTGAGTGAACGGTTTGTGGGGTTGGGCTATTGGAGTGTAGCGTAGTGCCCCCCACGGTCTGAATACCCAGCACCCCCGTATAATCACTCGAAATTGCCACTCGACCAGCCCGGGGGTTGCAAAGCCGATTCCCCCCCGCAACCGCTCGACATCGATCTCCACCCGCTCGGGGGTACGAGCAGGACTCATTTGGCAACGAGGTTGGTACTTGTATAGATCCGTGAAAAACCTAAGATTAAGCCTGAGCCTAAGCCTCAGTTAAATGTGGGCCCAGCCTTCAATCTCTTCCTAAGTCCAAGCTCAATAAGCCTAAGTCTAACAATTAGTCTGAAGCTAAAATAGACCCTCCCAGGAAGGATCTACACTAAGCCTAAGCCTATGCCGGTGCTTAGGATTAGGCTTAGGCTCAGGCGTAGGCTTGGGCTTTTGCTCAAGCCTAAGGTTCAGTCTCAAATCCTGTCTAAGCTTAAGCCTGATCCGAAGCTTAGCTTAGTGCCGAAAGCGAAGCTAAGTCTACGCTCGACTTGAGTAAAAAAAGAGGCGGGGGCGTCAGCCCAAGTCAAAATCGAAGCCAAGCAGAAATCTCGGGCAAGCTTCGAAACTCGCTTGTGTTTTCTTTTTCTTGGAAGCAAAACAGCCGCGGCTTCTCCCGCTCAGCCTTGTTATTCCACCCAAATCCCAAACGCCAAAAACGTGGGCCTGGGAACATGGCTGGGCTGCGGAGAGCTAACATTTCCCGAGCTTTTTCAACTTCAAGCTCTTAATCTTCAAGCCAAAAGCTACGTTTCTAGTGGTGGTACGGAGTCCAAGCTACGGGAGGAGTATTCCGCGAAGCTCCGCCCCACCCCCACCCCCATGTCGGCCCGCCCTAAATTGTGCCCCGCGGCCATTCTTCGCCCATCCCTCCCGTCCCACTACCGTACCCCCGGATATTCTATGTACGAGAGGCGTCTATTGGAACGGAGCTTAGCGGAATCGAGAGGTATTCTAATTTTGTTGATGTGCATCTTGGGGGCATCAAACAATATCACCTAGCTTTGTATTTTGGTTTTATATAATTCTTGCAATTCTGCATATTTTGAAAGGCTGAAATTAGAAATTTAATGTAGCTACAAACGTAATAAAAAAAAAAAAACACCAACCAACCTAATAAAAACCAAATTTTTTTTTTTTTAAATAAAAGAATTTTGGCTGTCATTTGATTGTTAATTCCTGTGTTTTAAGCCACTCAGGTGCCTTTCTAGCCTACCAAGAAACTGACCCGCCAATCATTTTGGTCGATCCGGGCCGCAAATAGGCGCCCAGCGTAGTCGGTGATTATGTTGGTGCCCAGGCTACCGTATTCCCAAAGAGAGACATAGAGAGAAACAAGGAGAGAGAGAGAGAGAGAGAGAGAGAGAGAAACACCGAGAAATTGGGTGGTTGTCTCGAGGGTTTTCACCTGTCCACCCGTCCCCTTCTCATTAGTCCGCCAGGTACCAATTTACGGTCAGATGTTGGGGGCCAAGGGCCAGATTGGAAAAGCTGCCAGCAGCCGATCGTAGGTCTCTAGCGTGGGCTACAGGGACCCGAGGCTCGGCTAGATTGAAATCTTATTAGCGAAAGCTTGTCTTTCCGCAAATGGCCAATTTACGGAGGTATTAAAGGGGTTGGAAAGTGGCCTAGATACTTGGCAGCAAGCCAAAGAAAACTCTTAGGAGAGCAGGTTATGACCGAGTTTCCTCAAAACCCATAGGCATCGCCTCGCCTAAACCTCAGCCTAAGCCGAAGCCTTAGCCTAAGCCAAACGCTAGGCCGAACCCTAAACTCAGATTTCCGATCACAACCAACCGTGTTTTGGTGTAACTCGTAGGCCCCCCAGCCCCTTTCCTGCAATTTCCGGTGCTCCCACCCCCCACCTCCAAAACTGAGGCGTCCGGAAAAGAGTTTCTTCTCCCTCCAAAAAAAGGATCTGGAGGATATGGGTTCTTTTCCATCTTCTTCTTCTTCTCTTCATTTCGAAGAGCTCTCCTCCTCCTCCACCTCCTCATGCTCGTTTCCGGTTGCCCCTTCCCTTCCAATTCGTCCGTCTTCTGGCCTAGGGGCAATTATGAAGGGCCAGGTCGTGTGGCCGTGCGCTGCCGGTGGCCCTGGCAACGCCCCCACCCATTGCTAGTCCCCTGCGCCTCGAACGTAACCCCTAAAGCGCGCTTGGCTTCGGGCCAAGTTTCCGTGGGGCTTACGGATTTTAGGCAGGTATTGTAAAAGCTAGTTTTATTTAGCATTTTTTTAGTCATTGAATTTGTCAAAAATTCGAATTTCCGCGGGCAATTTGTGGTTTGTGGCCCCTATTTTGCAGTATGTTTTCAGGTTGAAACTTCAGTTTCAAACTGTCAGTTTGTAGTCTAGATTTTGCTGTTTACGGTAGTTTCTAAATTCCGATGGGGACCGTTTTAGTCTCTTCTCTAGTCCAAAAAATACGCCGGAATCCATTTTCGGTAAATTTCCGGTTTTCCGGTTAGTTTGCCGTTTGTAGTCTGTAGCCAGCAGCCTATTGTTTTTATTAGCGTTAAATGTTGCCATAACAGAACCGTGGTTTTTTGCTTAAACACGGCTTTGGCTGTCCCCAGGTTGGGTCATCTCGCTGGCCATTCCGTGAGGCCAGGCCATTCTTGATAAGATAACGCACGGATTGGCGTTCAAATCACGACGCCCGGCTACTATCGACGCTTCGAATAGCTCCGGCTCCTAAAGCTCGGCTTATTCAATTTGTGAGTTGGATTGCTAAAGCCGATCTATAGCTGAATGGTAGTGCTTCAGCCTGTCAAGCGCTGGGTCCGGGTTCGGCCCCCGAGGGGCGCAAAACTTTTTTCTTCTTGACGAGAATTTGGGGCCTTAAATGGGCTTTGAATGCTGCTTTAAAGGGAGCAGGACAGACCCTCCCTTTTCTCAAAAGTTACATCATCTAAAAAAATTGCCTTTTCGGGCACTTTAGTGCAGTTTTCGACAATTTTCAAAGTTTTCTCCTTGCTGGCAAGCTCCCTTTAATACTCGTAATGCAAAAGAAGGGCCCATTGGAGTAGTCGGACTCATTTTCCGGGCCACCCAGTAGTCCTCCCGGGGCCACCCAATTTTTCACATTTTCTAATTACTCTCTCACTCTCTCTCTCCTCTCTCTCTCTCTCTCTCTCGCCGCGCGTTGGGTGCTTCTCTTCTGTGTGGGTTGGGTAAGTTGATACTGCCCCCCCCCCCTGGTGCCCTTTCCGCCCCTTTTCGATTTGTATGTGTTTCTGTTTGTTCTATCAATTGTCAATAGGATCGGGGCGTTGTGTGGGTCTGCCTTCCCCCTCCGTTTCGGCTTCTCCCTCCAGCCCCTTTTGCCGGGCGTTTCCAATTTGAAATTTCACACCCACCCTGGCTGCCTGGCCGCGCTGCTGGGTCGGCTGCATATTCATAATTTTTCTGGGGGTCCCTGTGTACAGGCCCGTACGAGGGGGGGGGGCACCGGGGGCACGGTGCCCCCCCCGAAATCGGTCGAGGTCCGAAAAGTTCATAAGGGGGGACCCTTATGATTTTTTTCATAAAAATTTTTCTGCCTGCGGCGCTATTTAGTATTGTTTTTAAAACAATTTAAACTGCAATAAAACCTATTTTTCCAAAAAATTTTCGCTTGCCGCACTAGTTTTTCGGGAATGTATCAGTTTTATTTGTAAACATTTTGCCTGCGAGACTTATTTTACATTATTGTAGGCTTAAATTAAAACTCTTCGTATATTTTTGACGCTTAAATCCCGATCAAAATGGCGAAAATAGCGAAACCTTCCAGAGGCAAAATCTATGGGGCGAGGCAAAACTTACCGGGGGAACCCTTAGGATTTTTCCTCAAAAATTTTTCTGCCTGCGGCGCTGTTTATCACTGTTTTGAAACGATTTTTACTTCTAGAAAACCCATTTTCCTAAAATTTTTTGCCTGCGGCGTCCGTTTTCATTAGTGCACCATTTTTGCTGAGCAAAATTCGCTTGCGCGCGCCGTTTCCGATGTGTTTTCACACGAATTTAAGCGTTTCGAACGCGGTTTTCTAAATTTATATTATTGTCGCTATTTTGTCGCTATTTTCGAATGTTTTGAAAGTGGCGACCGGGGCTGGCCTAACCATAACCCTAACACCAACCCTATGCCTTAGCCTAAGCCTAAGCCTAAACCTAAGCCCAAGCCTAAGCCTAAGCCTAAGCCTAAGCCTAAGCCTAAGCCTAAACCTAAGCCCAACCCTAAGCCTAAGCCTAAGCCTAAGCCTAAGCCTAAGCCTAAGCCTAAGCCTAAGCCTAAGCCTAAGCCAAGCCTAAGCCTAAGCCTAAGCCTAAGCCTAAGCCTAAGCCTAAGCCTAAGCCTAAGCCTAAGCCTAAGCCTAAGCCTAAGCCTAAGCCTAAGCCTAAGCCTAAGCCTAAGCCTAAGCCTAACATGAAGCCTAAGCCAACCCAAATACGGACAATTCGGAGAATGCGCGTAACGAGCGGGTTCCTCCCCTGCGCCAGCGTTCTGGACGTGCTCTGCCAGGTGCCGGGGCCCATTTACCTGGACCCTTACAATCCTTTTTGCATCTACCCTGCCCCGGGTCGAGACCCCAATTTGGGTCCGTCTACCAGCACCTGTCCCCCTTCTTTTCCGCCTCTTCACACCAATTTGCAGCCGGGAGCAGGCGTAGCAGTCCAGCCCTTAAAAGGCCAGACGTCTTTCCAAGGGTATTAAAGGGTTTCGCAAGTGAAACCACGGCTCTAATTCGAAAATTGAAATGATCTCACATATGCTTTTTGCAAAAAATCGATAATCACCGAATTCGGCACTCTGAATTCAAATTTTGAGGCTCCGATTGGGGTTTTACCCTTCCTTACTTTCCCAGGGTATCAGCCCATATTCACGCAATTACCGCCCCCCCCGTTCGATCCTTTGTCTGTCTGTATGTCTGTCCGTCCGTTCGTCACCAACGAATCGATTCGCATTCTATGTCTGAGCGAGACTGGCAGACCTGGCCCTAAAAGGGGCGAGAACCACCCCGGCGCTTCTCCCCGCTGTGCCCCGGGTTTTTGGGCGCGAAAACACTTTCCGGAATTTTGCTTTGTACGCGAATATACACTTTTGCAGAGTTTTTTAGACACTCTGGTTTCTAAATGACGCTAGGCTCCAAATCTCGCAAAGTTGTGGGGCGGAGTTTTCGTTTTTTTTTTGTTTTACCCGGGATACGCTAGTTATTCGATGATTTAACGAAAAGTGTCGGTTTCTGATCACTTTAAAGCTGAAATCACGGTAAAGTTTACCTTACTGTGCCTGCACTACAGTAATCCCAGATCTTACCTACCGATCGAACCCGGAGGAGCCTAAAAACCTTCAAAATCCCCCTTGTTCCCATGCCCAATCGCTTGCCCACCCCGACCCAGCTTTTTCAGCCCCGTTTTTGCACCCTGGCTACCGTACCCCAGGGGATTCCCACGGTACGGGAAGATATTCCGCCCGACCCCTATGCCTTGTCGTGCGTCTTTTTAGGTACCGCCCGGTGAAACCAATTTTTCTCACGATTCCCCGGAGGTACCAAAGTTACAGTAGGACTACAGTAATCCTACCCTACTGTACCAAATTCCTTTTTCATAAAGATTTTTCAACCGGTAATTAATAGTCGATTGAGTTTTCTGACAAAATGGCGTAAAGTACGGTATTCTGCGTATTCTAGCCTTACAGTATAGCTTAATGATCCTGTTTTGTAAAAATTATGCGGTAGTACGGTATTTTTTTTTTAAGTAAAAAAATTGACGATTTAAGCTAAAAATATTGCCACTACCGTAGCTCCACCGTATCGGTTCGGACTTTTTCCAGGGATTTTCAATGCATAGAATATATTGTGTTGATTTTCATTGAGATTTTTTGACAAAACGTACAGCAACTGTACCATGCTACCGGGCCGAAAAAAAAATCGATACCTACGCCGTTGTATTCGAATGTATGGCCACGTTGCCCAGCCTTTTTCAGCCCCGCCCACACAAAAAGCGATCAGAAGCCTTCTCCCCCCTTCAGCCGATGAATCGACCCGTTCGCAGCCTCGGCCTGAAAATGGCCAACGCGACACTCCTATCGACGTACGTTCGTACGCGGTTCCGTGTTGCTACTCTGTACATATCCCATATTTCGCAGTTGAACGGAATTTGTTTGCTCCTCATCTTACGGTACCTACTGTAGCCCTTAAAATGTGATTTTTCCCTTTAAAAATATCGTTAAAAATGTTTTTCGCGTGGTATTACAGGTATTAGAAACCCTACAGTAACCCAAAAATGGCCCTTCTCCATTTTGGCAAATCCCCCGCCCCCTCGCCACCAATTCGTCCTTCAGGAACCCTGGATTTATGTGTGGGCTGGACTTTCTGAGAGCATCTAGCACCATATAAATTCAGCGTTCCGCGACGATACGCTCAACGAACGGACTACAGTACCAGTACCAGTACCTGACAATACGCCGAACTACGCAACAATACTTTTGTAGAGTACGAAATACACCAAATAACTCGGTTTATCGTTGAGCACTTGACAGAGGAAACAAGTAAAATTCTATTCAAAAAATTAAATGTTCAAAAAAGACCGGGAATTTGGGGATTGGCGTTTTTCATTAGTCGGGCGGTAAGTGAATCGGCGTAATTGTTCTAATTTTTGCTGGATAAATTTCTTCTAACAATTTTCTGGCTTGATAAATAGCAATATGGTTGCAATATGGGTCGAAAAATACTGTAGAAAAAGGTTTAACAAATGAAAAATCGGAAATTCATTAATTTGAAACAATTTCAATTAAAAAATTTGCTGATAACTGGTTTTTCTCGATTTTTAAGGCACCGGGAATGGGGAGCGGGGTTTTTAGGGGCAGAAAGGAGAAAGTAAACAATTCGGGACTTTAATTTAATTTAATAGAATCAAAATTATACAGTAGTAACAGCGAGAATCGGTGCTGGAGGCGGGGGTCCTTGTTGCTCGTGGCGCTGCGAGAGGTATTCTCGGGTTGAGGTGAACGCGTCAAGGGGAGCCTGGCGTCGCGCCATCTTACGGTAGGCCATGTCGACAATTAGCTGAACAATTGGCTTTTTATGGAGTATGTTAATTCCAACGGTCAGTTACCGTATCCCGGTTATAAAGGTCATTTTATGCTTTTCTGCTCGTATTTTTTACGTACGAAAAATTGCTTAAAATTTTGAAGAGGCTAAATCCGACCGTAAACCGGCCGTAAACTACCGTACCTTGTCCGTATTGGCCAGCTTAGCCTGGTTGATTCGCTGCTCATGCCGTATCTTCCGCATTCGCTCGTGCTCAAGCTGCTTCTTCCGGTCTTCCCGGCAGAAATAGTGCCCCAACTAAAAAAATATAGGATTTAAGGTTCCGCAAATTGTCTCTGCTAGCCTGCCCTCAAACTTGTTGCTCACCTTAACGCCACTAAAGGCATCATCGTCGGTGCTGATGCCGGTTCTCTCCTTGTTCAGCTGGGCTTCTCGCTTTTTCAGGACCTAAGAGAGTGTTGTCAGCCTATGCATAAGAAACGTAAGTCTTAGCCTATGCCTAAGCCTAAGCTAGGCTCAGATGAAGCGGAACTCTAGGTTCAGGCCTAACCCAAGCCTAATCGAAGCTTAAGCCTGAGCCTAAACCTAAGCTAAGCCTGAGCCCAAGTCCAAATTAACCCCAAGCCCAAACACCGTAACCCTGACCTGATTCCGAACTGGCCTCTTGACGACATATCGCGTGCCGTCACACCGTCTTTTTACCTGGAAATCGCGGGACTTTAGTTGGAAAAGTCGAGCTCTTAATTGCATTAATCAGAGTTTTTAAGCCTTTTAAAGGGACACTGAAGGCATGCCTATGGATTTGTCTGCCTTGCCAATCCCTTTAAAGTTATCAGCGATCCGAACCCCCGTACCTTCCACTTAAATTCGACCGGCGGCACCGCTTCCTCCGCATTAATGTCCATATTGGCGCCGTTTTGAGAGGGTCCCTCTTCAGGTTGTTGATGATCATCATCGTCGTCGTCGCTCAACCCCTCCAATTCTTCGATCGGCCGGTCGAACATGAACAACCGGGTGCCGCCCTCGTTTCGGACACGGAGACGGCCCTGTCTGAGAATTAAAGGTGTGGTGACAGATGGGGAGGGGAAGATGCTCACACTCTCTCTCGCTCTCTCTCTCCTCCCAAAACCCACCGTTTCTCAATTGGGTTACAACTCTTCGGCGGAGATACCCTGGGGATGATCGACAATTTCGGAATTCTAAAAAGACCTTCTCCAGGCTACCGTAACCAGACCCACCTAAACTTCTGCGGCGACACAGCACGCACCTTGTCCCGTGCATAGGATTGGTGCGTAGTCGGGAGCATGGGGACAGCTTTTCGAATGGTCGTAGCCGTGTTTGTAGTGGAATATATGACTGATGGGGTTGTGGGGATCGGGCCGAGTGACACCTCCGATTGTCCAACCACCGATCCGCCGCGGTTTACGACTAAAAATGGATGTGAGGCTTGCGAGTTTTTCTCTCTCGCTCTCTTTCTCTCACCATTTTTGCATACCGTAGCTGGTTGGCTTTTTGTCAGTTTTTCTCAGGGCCGATTTGTGGGGTCGTCCTTATCCATTTAAAACATTAAACCTACCTAGAACTGGTAGAGGATGGGGAATTCTCATCGTCATATTCCGTTGCCTCCTCTCCACGGTGGATTGGACATGGGAAGGGGATGGAGGACAGCATTCACGACGGGGATCTGAAAAAAAATCTTGTACGCATGAATGGAAGATTCTCTCTCCCCTCTCTCTCTCTCACGATCTCTCTTATTCTAAATTAATCCGAAAAAAGATAAAAACACACCTTCTCTGGCCGGTGTAAATTTCTGAACATTCGCCTGCTGCATCGGTTGCCGTTGATGGTGCAAAAGAAGCGGCACACACCCATCCGGGGTTACGGTAGCGGATCGACAGCTCTCTCCGCCAGTGTTGTAAGCCGACGACGTTTCTGCTTGCGGGGCGGCGTTGGGCTAAAATCGCGTGGGTCTAATCCCACTTTAACGCAATGTATTGTTAGCTACTGTAGCTCGCATCAAAACGTACCATTTGTTGCGCGTCCTCACTCTGCATGTGCTTGTAGATGAGCCGGTCGCACTCGACGCGCAGGCTTCGCATCTCGTCGTGCAGGCAGGCTAGCTGCAAAATGGGGGAATTGAAAAGTTTAGCCTAAAATGTAGCCCAAGCCAAGACCTAAGCCTTATCCAAAGCCTAAGACTAAGCCTAAGCCTAAGCCTAATCCTAAGCTTAAGCATAATCCTAAGCCTAAGCGGAAGCAAAAGCGAGAGCCTAAGCCCAAACCTAAACCTAAGTCTATGCCTAAGCCTAAGCCTAAGTCTAAACCAGAGCCAAGCTCAAGCCTAAGCCTAAGACTAAGCCTAAGCATAAACCTAAGCCAAAGCCTAAGCCTAAGTATACCTAAGCCTAGATTAAGACTAAGCCTAAGTCTAAGCCCATACCTAAACCTAAGCCAAATCCTAAACCATGCCTAAGCCACTAAGCCTATTTTTTAATTCTACTCTTCAAACCTGTGCCTCCAACGCATTTGCCTCCCTCTTCATAGCCCTTTTCGTGTTGACCGGCTCGGCGGGCCGTATGTTCGAGGTAGAAACCGTCTCCCGTAAATTGCTTGTCCCATTTTTGGACCCGCGCTCCGATGGGGGCTTCCGGTCCCGCGAGGTTGAGCGCTAAAAGTGGCAAGGTTTTCGTAGAAATGGGCAAGCCTACCTCGCGAATATTCCGCCATACGTTGCGCGACGAGCGGCACAGTCCCTTTAGGCTGTCCAGTGCGCTGGAAAGCATGGGATAGAGAGGGAGAGAGAGAGAGAGAGAGAGAGAGAGAGAGAGAGAGAGAAAGAGAGTGAGAGCGAATGAGAGAGAGCACGGTCAAGAGAGATAGAGAGAGAAGGAAAGAGTGAGAGAGTGAGAGAGAAAGCGAGAGAGAGAGAGAGAGAGAGAGAGAGAGAGATAAACAGATTCCTCCGCGCACCTCGAAAAACCCGCTAGTAGCTGTCCAGCGGAATGCGGCCGGAACTAGGGACACTGTGGCCGGGCTGAGGGCCAAACAAATTTGTCAGCTTCCCATTGCCCCCTTTGCCACGTTACGCAATAATCTCGGCGAGGAGTATCAAGAGGGATCGGACGGTGGTGTAAATCGGAAAAGAGAGACCAGCCCCGGCCAAACCAAATGTGCCGCCTGACACCCTATACGAAAGGGAAAAGCGGAAAAGAGGCAAATGGCTGATGGATGGGTACGGGCCACAACTTTGGACATTTCAACGGGGAGGATGAGGAAAAGCGGAGGAGGAGGAGGAGGAGGAGTTGTTCTGAGGGTACGGGCAGGACATGGCTACGTGACATACCTCAGGACAAGCGAGCGTAGATCTAAGCCAAACCTAAGCCTAAGCCCAAGCCTATGCCTGAGCCCATATCACCCGATACGCGCGACACTGTAACACCGTCCTGGCAAAACATTCAAATCGGAACCCCCGACCACCCCATAAATCTCGGCAAATTGGCGGTATGGCAGTCCGTATAGTACCCTGGAATACGTCGTAAAATCGGACGATATGTGCAAATGGGGAGTCGTGGGCATTTGATTGAATTCCCCCGGGAAGCAGGTTATAGTAATTTCCTGGAATCCATAAAAGGATAAAAAGAACGCGGAGATTTTATTGGGATAGCTATTGGCCTAGAATAAAAGAAGAAGGTTAGTTCGTAACCCAAAGCTCAAGCCTAATCCTAAGCCGGAACATAGGCTTAAGCTAAGCTTAAAGGAACGGTCAAGCCTCACCCTAATGTTGCCTTCGATAATTTGATAATGGCAAAGTCGAAAGTTGATGACGATAAGGGTTCGCATTCATTTTGCACAAAAAAGGAGAAAAGAAGTGGTGCTCCTCGACTACGGGTCTCCCTACCCATTCCCGGCCGGCTGAAATGTCGATCCAATTTCCATTGCGGGCGCCCTCAATTTTATTTCCGGTCGCCCCTTCACTCAACAAGGAGGCGGGAAGGACCCGCATGCTTCTGGTGAAGGTAAATAAGTTTAAGGGTTATTTAAGGAATCGAGAGAAAAATTGGAGCCCCGATTAAGCCTATAAGTCTAAGCCTAAGCCCAAGCCGAAGCCTAAGCCCAAGTCAAAGCCTTATCTAAGTGTAAGCCTCACCTAAGCCAGGCCTGGGTCAAGCCTACTTCCAAGAAAGGTTTGAAATTTGAAGTCTCTCAAGCCTTAGACTCGGCCTAAGTCAGTCCGCTAAAGCTGAAGCCCCAACCTCTGCCGATGCCCAAACCTAAACCCCAGGATAAAGCCAAGCCACAAGCTTATAATCGAAGCCTAAGCTTAGACTAAGCTTAAGCTAGCTAAGTGCATCACTAAACCAGCAAAAAACTACTCAAACATGACATTTTCACCCTAAAAAAAAACTAGAAAAAATCACCCCAAGACCTCAATTTCCTGGCATGGGCCAATGATAAATTTGGCATCTTTTCCCCCGGGCCACCTCCTCTAGGCCCACCAACTGTTTCCCATTTTTTCCGTTGGGCCGTCCTGTCTTTCCGGGGTTCGTTCTCTTTCCCAGAGGCCACACAGCCCATTATGACGTGCCGGGGATGGGGGTTTTCTGTTGCATTTGGCCCTGTTGGGTGCTAACAGTCAGTGGGGCCCCCATCGCCCATTTCCCCCATCAATCCCACCACCCCGAACGGCCTCCCGTTTTTATCTGTTGGCCAAGTGGGCACACCTAGAGGTGTCGAATAGGGGGGATTTGGTTGTTTTGATGGGGTTGTAGACTTGGAGTGGATTAAAGGGACAGGGAAGTGCCAAAATCGACGTTTTGAATTTATTGGGTGTCGACAGCAGACGAGAAGCTTACGATCACCTTTAACGGGACGTGAAAGGCTAACATTCAAGACGTTTAGTGGGCCTAGCCCTAAGCCTGAGCTTAAGCCAAGTGCTAATCCGAAGCATAAGAATAAGCGTGGGCCTAAGTCAAACCCCTACCCGTTGCCTAAGCCTACGTTTACGCCTAAGAATAAGCCAAAGCCAAATCCTAAGCCGAAGCCTGAGCATAAGCATAAGCCAAACCTAAGCCTAAACGAAGCCTAAGCCTAAGCCTAAGCCTAACCTAAGCCTAAACAAAGCCTAAGCCTGATCCTAAGCCGAGGCGTAACCTTAAGCCCACGCCTAGGTCTACGCCCAAGCATAAGCCTGACCCTACGTCAAATCCGAAGCGGGTGCCTAAGCCTACGTTTACGCCTAAGCCTAAGTCAAATCCTAAGCCACATCCTCAAGCCTATGCCTCGGCCTAAGCCTAACCCAAGCCTAAGCCTCTCTAATCAGCTTATGCATCAATGCAAGCGAAAAAAGTGACAGAAAATCATAGAATTCCGTATGATTACGAGATTTGTAGCAGCGGAATGTTGTGGAGTACGGGGGAATGGGATGGGATGAGGGAAAAGCCATTGGAAGCCGGGGGAGGGGATACATCTGGTTGGAATTAAGGACCACAGCTCCCCCAAAAAAACCCCACAACAACACATTGCACCAAAAGACACACAAACATGAAGAGAGAGAAAGGCCATACATACAAAAATCTGGAAAAGTTGTGTGCCCCATTGTTCATTTGCCGTCTCGAAACGCCATTTCGGAGACTGGGCCTCCTTTGGGAACGAAAAGGGAGGGGAAATGAGGCCCCAGGAAAAACAATGGGAGCCCCAGCCGCCCTCTCCATTCATTTCCACGCTCCTGTGAAATTTAACAAAAAGCGAGGCGTGCTGTTTTTGTTTAGGGCCCGGGGATGGGGAAAGATGGCAGATATCCTTTAGGAATTTTTCGGGAATGGCCAGCGGAGATACTTGGGGGAAGGTATGCTAGCAGAGATCATTTAGAAATTCATCGTCCTTTGGGCAGCCGATACCCTTGAGAAAGGCATACTAGCAGGAAGCATTGAAGAATTCAGCGTGACTTGCGGATTCGTTGCCGGGAGAAAGGCCAACGAGCAGAGTTTCTTGAGGAGCTAGGCAGGATGTGACCAGCCGACACCGTTGAGGAGGGCACACCAGTAGAGATCCACTAGGAATTGGACAGGAAGGGACCAGCAGGGGATCCTTGAGGAGGGCATGCTGGCAGAAGCCCTTTGGGAAGGCGGCCAGAAGTGTTGGACCGGAACCCTTGAGAACGATTTACGAGCAGAGGTCATTTAGGAATTCGGCAGAGCCGGATGTATCCTTGTGGAAGACATGCCAGCAAAGGTCTTTCGGGAATTAGCCGAACGTGGTCAAAGAGTAGCTTTGTTTCGACTTTAGGCTTAGGATGAGGTTTCAGTCTTTCGCTCAAGCTTGTTCTACTTAAAATTTGATTTAACCTAGACACCAAATTAGGCAGCGACGTGGCCCAACTCAATCTATCGGCAGAAGTAGACAGTTTATGCGAGAAAATACAAATTTCAGCGAAAATCTGGCTCGAAAAATTCGACACACACAGCATTGGAGCACGACTATGTGATCCCGGATAGGTCGTATGAGGCGGAGATTGAGATCTTTTTTGAGTGAAGCAGAGAGGGGACAAAGAATGGGACAGTTGGCCCCCCAGCGACAACCCCCGAAATGCCTTTGATCCGAGCACAGAGATGGCCGCTGGAAAAACAAGACCCTCCCCGATTACAGCATTCGATTCGGACGACCCGATCCTTGTTCTCTCTCGCCCCTTTTGCCCTGCGGACACAAAGAATGGCCAATGGCCGACATTCCCTTTTTGATCGGCAAAATATGACCGCTGCGGATTGGGGGCCGACAGGGAAGGAGGTGAAGCCCCGGAATTTCTTGGGCAAAAAGAGGACAAGGATTGATGGAGGACAGCGTTGATCTCACACTCAACCACAGACAGCACTCACCAAATAATACTAACCGCATTTGCGGGTTTAAAGGGACTTGGAAGGGCAGAGGGAGCAGATTTTCTTGAATCAAATGTTCTCTGCAAGCTTGCCCCCAATCGCAAATTGGCCTCGCCTAATTGTTCATGAGCCCACTTCAAACGTTCTCTGCTAAATCGCTTTCACAAGAAAGAGTTCTCTGCTAGCTTGCCCTAAAACTCAAATATTCCTTGCTAGTTAGCCTACAA